TATGTATTTTGTTCAGTGAACCTGGCTTCTCCCTTGACTTTGCTTGTCAGAAGGTCGCAAAAGGAGATCGCGTGACCCCAGGACGCCAGTTGTCAAGCGTCTGAATTTTGATCACAGGACCACAAGGATGTTGCAACCATCATTCAGTGAGAAAAAAGCAATCATAAATCCCTTTTTTCAGTGTTGATATAACTTTGGAAAGTCACTAAATCAATAATTGCATCTCAAGGACTAGCTGCATTCTCCAACCATAGGTTTATCCTTCAGAAACTTCTCTTTGAAGGTCACTGAAGTGGGTGGCCGCACAATTTAAAGAATTGTTAGAACAGGAATTCTGAAGAATCTTGTAATCTTGAAAAGGAACCCGTCCATCATTTGGAAACCCTACAGTGCCACCGAGTGGAGGAAACGGAACCGGCATCTTCCGATACTTGGGATTTCTGCCCTTCCAGCAGTGACATTTGCAGAACAATCAATATCTCATTATTGGCCATAATCACTACCCAGTTGCTTAGCTTTTGTGGAAGCGGACCTCTGTAAGAAACAGTTTCCTTGTCTCCGGTGTGTTTGGCAGGCTCTTTGTCCTACAAGTCAGTGTCCTGATTGGCAGGGATCGTTTTACACCCATGCACCCCACTCAAGGTTAGACTGCATTTCTTTTCTTTTCTTTTCTTTTTTTGGATCAGATCTCAAAAGGAAGAAGGCTTAAAAACAAACAAACACCGAATCATAACTTTAAACCAGGCAGAAACCGGATGACCTTTTGCTAACTGCTGGAAGGAAAAACGCTTGATAAATAAGTAAATAGGTCAGCCTTGGGGTGGTTTTGCTTACAACCTTTTAATTAAAATACTTCAGCCTGGAAGGTCGCAGTGAATGACAAAAGCCCTTACAACGAGCATGAATTNTTTTTTTAATTTAAATTAAAAGCAGCTTCCAGATGAGCAACAGCTTTGGGACTTCGACTTATGACCACAATCAGGACCAGACTTCAATAAATAAATAAATTGGTGTTGCTAAGCAAGGCATTTGTTAAGTGAGTCGTGCCCGATTCTGCAACCTTTTTTTGCGACAATTGTAAAGTGAATCATTTAAGAGTTGAAGTCCCCACATCCTAAATATGCCAAGGTTAAGAAACACTAGTTTTGTCAGGCACCATTCTACCTGCAGAAGCATCGTTTCTGCTCATACCAGCTGCCAATGCTCTATAACAGTGGTGGCGAACCTATGGCACGGGTGCCAGAGGCGGCACTCAGAGCCTTCTCTGTGGGCACGCATGCCGTTGCCCCAGTCCTAGGCCTTCAGCTGGGTTTTATAAAACCTTTTCGCTTTAGGCCTCCGCCGCAGTGTGCAAAAAAAAAAAAAGGTTCAATCAATCAGTCAATTTCAACTTCTCATGAGAAAAAAAATCTTACAAAGTTGGAATCGATTGAACTTTAGTTACCACCGCAGCCACGCCCAGCCAATGGGCCATGCCCAGCCAACGGGCCATGACCAGCCAATGGGCCACACCCACCCAGCACCCGACGATGCATAAGTGGGTTTTGGGTTGCAGTTTGGTCTCTAAAAGGTTCACCAGCACTGCTCTATAATGAAGAATTAAAATAAAAAGGAGAAATGCACCTCAACTAACCTCAACCCCCTACCACAGGGGGACAGTCTCTTCTTCAAAACTTCCAGTGTTGGTGCGTTCACCGCTTCTGGAGGCAGGTTGTTCCACTGGTTAATTGTTCTAACCGTCAGGAAGTTTCTCCTTAGTTCTAGGTTGCTTCTCTCTTTGGTTAGTTTCCACCCGTTGCTCCTTGTCCTGCCTTCAGGCGCTTTGGAAAATAGCTTGACTCCCTCTTCTTTGTGGCAGCCCCTGAGATATTGGAACACTCCTATCATGTCACCCCTCATCCTTCTCTTCATTAGACTAGACATACCCAATTCCAGCAACTGTTCCTTATATCTTCTCTGTACTCTTTCTAGAGTCTCAACATCTTTTTTACATCGTGGTGACCAAAACTGGATGCAGTATTCCAAGTGTGGCCTTACCAAGGCATTGTAAAGTGGCATTAACACTTCACGAGATCTTGATTCTATCCCTGTTAATGCAGCCCAGCACTGTGTTGGCTTTTTTGGCAGCTGCAGCACACTGCTGGCTCATATTTAAGTGATTGTCCACTAAGACTCTGAGATCCCTCTCACAGTTGCTACTATTGAGCAAGGTACCCCCTATACTATACCTGTACATTTGGTTTTTCTTGCCTAAATGTAGAACCTTACTTTTTTCACCATTGAATTTCATTTTGTTAGATAAGAATAAATGGAACCAGTTCCTTAGCATTTGGATTACTTCACAGGGAATTCATCTCTACTTTAAGTAGAGGATCTGGTCCACGACTCGGCGGAAAATCAGGCGGCGGCTTGGGAGACAACTGCCGCCGCAGCATTGGACCGAGTCGTGCCTTTGCGGCCTCTGACCCGACGTGGATCTCGATTGGCTCCCTGGTTTACCGAGGAGCTGAGATGAAACGTCGGAAAAGATGCCTAGAGAGCTGTTGGAGGGCCAGCCGAACCGAATCCGACCGAACACGGGTTAGGATACATGTTAGATCCTACCTAGTGGCGATGAGGGTGGCTAGGACTAACTACTATTCCTCGCTCATCGCGTCATCAGATAATCGCCCGGCTGCCCTCTTCAGGGTGACCCGCTCTCTCCTCC